TCCCTGAACACGTGGAAATGAAATGAACTTCTGAGGTGATTCTGTCTGTCCACTGAGGTGAACGGAGTTGTGCTTATGAGCCGCAGGTGTGGCTGCTTGAGCATCGGCTGCCAAACGAAGGAGCTCCTTCGGCGAAGCATGAGACTATGCAGCCCCCGCCCACTTGTGGCTATGCTAAGTATCTGTACAGCAATGGAGATTGCTACGATGGCCAGTTCTGGGCATCCCAGAGACATGGGGATGGTGTCTACTGTTCTGCCGACGGCATGAGGTAACAGCATGCGGCATGTTTTTGCGCATGTGACGTTTGAACATTTTTGCTTGTGTTTCGTCCGCACATACCTCTGCTAATGCTTGCATTGGAATGCTTTGGTGCGCTTGAATGGCAGGTATGATGGCTCCTGGGTCAGTGATGAACGACATGGCCACGGGGTGCTAGCCCACGAGTCCGTAGGGTACCTATACGTGGGGCAGTGGCAACACAACAAGAAAAGCGGGGAGGGTCATCTGTACTCCCGTAAAGAACGCTACTGGGGCCAATTCTTTGACAACAAGTACCACGGACGGGTGAGGTGGTTGCCTGGCGCAAGCAGCTTGAATGACCGATCATCCCCTGGTTCACACTGCTCGGGCATTTTGCAGGACACCTTTTAGCTGAACAGCTGGCTCACGGCTTGTATGTGGCTTCTTCAGACACGAATTAGCGAACAGCGCCAGAACCGGTATGGGCCTTTTGTGGGGTGCTGTTCATTGTGTGGACCAGGGGCGATACGTACAACGCGAAGGACTCGAGTATGAAGGAGAGTTTGCTAGGGGCCGATTTGAAGGTCTAGGTAAACTGTCAATCTCGCGAGACGAGGGAAAACAAACTTTTGGGGAGTGTCGAAAGGGTGTCGTTATAAGGGGCAGTTTCGAGGAAGGAAAGGTGACGGGTGTCGTCAACGCGGTGTACGCTGATGGAAGAACCTACACAGGAGAGCTTTCAGTAGGCCACCTTCTTCNGGTGTCGTCAACGCGGTGTACGCTGATGGAAGAACCTACACAGGAGAGCTTTCAGTAGGCCACCTTCTTCCATTAAGCCGCTTGACCAGTTACTTGCAGCTTGTAGTAGATACCTGCTGTGGATACAACTCTCGTTCCTTCTAGGTGTCTCGAGTTCGTTATAGCAGTAACGATATGATGAGGTATTATCCGCTTGTTCACTCTTAAACCCTCACACTGTGAAGGGAAGCAGTTCTTGATATCTTGCTTCTACCGGTGCCTTGTTGTGCATTCATCATTGCGTTTTTCTCAGCCGGAGACTCTGTTGCCGGAAGGAAGTGGTAGCATGCTCTACAGAGATTGTAGTTTGTATGACGGCCAGTGGAGAAATGGCATGCGGCACGGAGCTGGTGTTTTGACCATCCCTGTGGGAGTTCTGAGGGGTGCGAGTGCGAGTAAAGAAGGAGATGAAGAGGGGACGATAACTATCGATGGGCAGTGGTTAGATGATTTGCCGGACCCTCAAGCAGAGTGGAGCGTCACCTTCCCGACCGGGGACAAGTACTTAGGCAGTCTAAAATTCCCATCCATCGGAAGCAGTGCGGGTGCGGAGGTTGGCAAGGACATGCATGCGGAGCAGACTGAAGCCTTGGCAAGGATTGTACCGCATGGATGGGGACTAAGCAAGCGAAAGGACACCGGAGAGGTCTACGAAGGANAACATATCTCCACTCTGAGACATGCCACCATTAACCAGGGTTCGCGCGCAGCAGGCTGATGCCTCTTGGGTAGTGAAACCTGTTAGTGTATCGAGGAAAACGCAACCAAAGGGGCTTGACATGGGTTGCCTAACTAGAAGACTTCACAGGCGTCTTCTGGACCTAAGATAGTTAATCACTCGTTTTCTACTCACATTTATTTCACGTTTCTGTGCGTGCAGGAGTGCATAACGCGGAGTGGCGCAAGACACTCCGGTGAATGGCGGTTTGGGCATCCCCACGGGGAAGGTCGCCATTTCGACCCTACTTCAGGTTACACTCTTGAGGGCACCTTTTACTACGGAAAATTCGTGGCGGAAAACAGTCCAGGCTTTGTGAAAGACGAGGAAACTTGTGAAGAGCCGCCTGCGGGAGTCCCTCTCCTTGTATTTGAGGCATTTGAAACGTTCCCACTCGCCAACTGCCCGCTGTTTCAGCCACGTAGCTCGGCTCCCACTACTCCTTGCACTGCTTCACCTTCGAAGAGCCCTCGGAACTACGGCTGTTGACACTGTATGGGTACAGTGCACGTAGGACTTGCACAAGGCGGCTCTTATTCCGGCGCACGACATTTGTGTGCAGCTGAACTGAACATGCAAACGGCGTTTGTGCCACAGAGCGAAGACAACAATAAAAAATTGTGACAAAGAACTGCGGTGGTTTGGGCGTTGATGTCCCACTGCGGGTTTAAGCTAGAAGGTAGAGAAGGGAATAGGCGTGCCGTACTGTGCAGCAGCCAACCAAACGTTGTTGAGCCATGTTTAAAGCAAGAATGGCATTGCGTGGCTCGTATGTGACGCGTGCTCTAGTGCTGACTGCATTTTAAATGCCTGCTCCGTTCCAGATGTAGTTTGCATTCTCTGAGTTGTATGTGCTCCTTGACTTGTGGCCTTCGGAACGCCCACTTCAGAGGCGCGTCGAGCGTTATGTGACGCATTTAGCGCTACGCTGTGGAATCTGCTGAGCTAGTTGCTCCATAGGGGGAACGTATGCTCCCCAACTTAATATTCCTCAAAGGCTGACACAAGGGGATCTACTTCTTTTTTTCCACATGAAAACTGGGTCGCCGAACCTGCGCCACTCTTGTAACGATTTTCCCACCAAGTGTGGAACGTACTGGTGTCAAGGAAGTAGTACATAAGATTGGCCAGGATATCAAGTTCTTCACATCTGCACCACAACAGCGCAATGCGCTCGGCTTTTTGGCAAGAACAGATCTGTTTTTCCGAAGGCTGAAAAATATGAGAGCTTGCTTGCGCACCTGAGGTTTGTGGGCAACCGGAGAGTTGTGCGAACGTGAGCCAAGAAATGCCGATATCGCCGCTGCAGGGATTCCACATTGCACACTTCAACACTGCTTAGAGTTGACAGGCAAAAGAGACTTTTTTTCGTCTTGACTTGGTTCACTCGAACTTACCCGCATTTCCGTTCGGCTTGTTGTTTCGCTTGCGTTTTCGGCCAGCTGCTCAAAGAAACTTCCTCCAATTTTAACGGTCTCTTCCAGCTGCTGGCTCGTCAACCCGTGGTCAACTGATTGCCTGCAANACTTCCTCCAATTTTAACGGTCTCTTCCAGCTGCTGGCTCGTCAACCCGTGGTCAACTGATTGCCTGCAATTCAAAATTTGTACGTAAGTGTGCACGGATGAGCGGGACGCTGCATTTCTTCTCGATCCCAGCAGGAAAGCTTCGTTCACAACCAGAACCCCGCTTTCCCCCCGCCCCGCATCCTTCTACATGCTTCGTTCAGGTTACCGTTTGAAGAGGTCGCGAGTATCAGGTTCATCTTTCTTTTCCTTTTGTACACTCTTTTCCCTTAGCCTGAAGTCTCAAAACCGAATACAGATGGTGTGCCCTACTGAACGAGGAACCGTGGGGTGGCATTTACATAGGGGTCGGTCAAGGGGGGCGAATGCATACTTTCCTAGCATCAGCAGTATTACTTTGAGCCTGCATACTGCCCTGTTGAGCTTCTCCAAGGGAAACGAATAAGATTGGGCAACTGCTGAGAGCCTTCTGGCGTCACCTGTGGAATGCATCATAGCCGCCCAGAAAAGGAGGTACTTCGCCATTTGGGGCCCCATCATCACTTCAAACTAGAATCCAATTAGTGTTTTCTGTGCGGTACGCTGTACATACTAGCTTTTATTATGCGCCTATCGGTAAAATTTGAGTGCTCTGGTTTGTACGGACCTGACAGGATGAGCTGGCATGCGTTGGAAACTGCTGCTTCCGATTTCGCCAATAAGTGCCCCAGATAGCGGTCCATTATGCAGCCACTGCAAGCAGATCCTTTGTTTTCTCTTCCGGCTGCACCAAACAGAAGTATAAATGAGTTGTCGTGAGCTCGAAGAGAGGTCTAACTGCTGCCACTTTTGACAACCGCGTGCACTAACGCAGTGTGCCCTTACTCGGATGGCACAGCAAGAATATAACATCACTATCTTGGTCGAAAAGATCCTCCTTGGGGATTCTGTAGGGGTAGTGCTCAATGTACTCCATAACCTGCAACGCTGACCTGTTCAGAAAGTCAAAAAACACGACTGCAAAGCCACCATCTGTGTCTGGCGTCTACTGGGAACATACTACACAAGTAACGAGCTGTCACCCCGAAGGGTTTAGCAGGCCCATTTTCACGGGATGCTTCAACGAAGCAGGAGCTGAGGAGAGGAAAAAGTCTCACGTGCCGGAATGGTCCAACAGCCATGTTAAAAAAGAATGGGAAGTAATATCTCCCCCAGACTTTGTACAGGCGGTCTGAAATACGTCGTAAGAAACATTTTTGAAGCCTGCAAAACACCAAACTTATTTGAGTTAATGGGCAAAGTTAGATGCAAGGCGCATCCGTCAAATGTTATGCAATGCGCCAACTGCATGCCCCCACATTTTCTCTAGTGCTCAGGCCCTGGAGGCACTGTGTTGTAGTGTATCGAAAGGGGTTTCCAAACAGCATACTTTGCTTTTCAAGGTAGTCAAGCAGGAGAAAGAGCGAAACTAGCCTGGAAACCAGTTTCGTATCCACCGCAAAGTTGATATACACCACGAACATGTCGCTGACCAAGTCAGATATGACCGGACCGACCATGTCGCTCGCGGCTCTGGACTGCATAGAGGCTGCATGACACGACACACAAAATATGGAAAAATCAGTAGCTGCTCTGCTAGCATAGGCGAGAGCAAATATGTTTATTACCAGCCATATTCTATATTCTGACACATATAAAGCTCTACTTAGACCTCCAGATCGGGAGATATAATCTGTCCATTCCCTATCTACTAGCTTGTATTTCATGCTTACGAAATATAGGATGATCCGTAGGGTCCAGCTGGATCATATTTGCCTTTGAAATATCCTTTTGTGCGGGGGGAGATGCATTGTCATGCTTCTCGTCCCCTGTTCCTGGTTTAGCTTCACTGGCGCTTGAAGGGGATAAGTGGGGCGGCTCAGCGGCCTTTAGTGAAGTGCCTGCTGCAGTAGGCGGCACGCACTAGACAGCGGGAGTATGCATACACTATGGAAGCCAAAAGTACACATGGCAATGGATAGAGTCAGCGCATTCGCTTCGTCGACGAAATACGGAGTGGGAGCGCTTACGAAGATCTGGATTTCCAGATGTTGGTGCATTTCTTTGGTTATTCAGTGACACTAAGGCCTGCTCGTCGTCTAGGCTGGGCAAAACAAACTTGACCTTCGTGAAAAACCTGTTTATTG